CTTCCCGCTAATGGGTGAGACCTTCATCAGGATTGTAATGGAGGGAGCTTACTGGTCGTTACATGTCTGCAGCCAAAACCGCGGGGATCACCAGCGAACGCACGCAGCTGCTGCTGAACGCCCTGCAGACTCCAATCATGATGGCGGCCGCGCTATCGGGGCTGCGGTGGCAGGATCGCCTCGGGCGACGGAAGCTACTCATCACTTCCAGCATAGGGATGTCCATCTGTGTCGCTGTCATTACAGCGTGCACCGCGCAGCAGGCGGGCCGACCGGTCGTAGGAGGCGTGGGCATAGCGTTCGTGTACGTCTTTCTTGTGGTCTTCGCCTTCGCCTGGACGCCGGCCCAGTCGCTCTACCCCACCGAGGTCCTGGCGTACAACACGCGCGCGAAGGGCCTCGCGTCCATGAACCTGCTGGTCAATGTGGCGAGCGTCTTCAATACCTATGTTCCTCCGGTGGCGATCACACGGGCGAGCTGGCGCTTCTACATCTTCTACATCCTGTGGGACGCACTGGGTGCGCTTGTCATATACCTGACATTTGTGGAGACCAAAGGAAGGGATTTGGAGGATCGATCACATATTCGAGGCAGACAATCCGAAGAAGACCAGTCTGCAGCCGCACATTGACACCAAACAGAGAACCTACGCAGCAGGGGATGTTATTACGGGGGCGGGAGAGGCGCGTGTTGGTTCGCTGGGATCCTGGCCGTGCGCCCTTCGTAACAGCGTATCTGGTGCTGCGAGTAGTCCATTAGCCCACGTACTTTGTCCTCAAATCGGGAGCTTGCAAATAAGTGTATGCCACAAAGGAAATGCTTGATGTATACTAAAAACACAGTACTTATCGTGACGAGATGTACACAACCGGATCAGACTGGGGAGAGTGCAGCGTTCGTGGATGTATTAGAAAGTGCTGCCCTCCGGCGGCTGCGGCAGCTTGCGGTTGTTGAAGGACGCCATCTCCCTACATCCCGATATTTGAGGACATGTATCTCTTAGATAGGTACAGTGAGCACTCACCTCCTGATCTCGACGAGAACGGTTTCGATACTGTTGTTCCGGTTCCAGTGTGCAAGCACAGGAAGCTTGCTGGGGTCGACTTTGCCATCTACTTGGCTAACGAAGGGCAGGTTTACGCGAGAGACGAATTGTACCGTAGGGGGTTGATCGGGGTAGTTCTCGCCACAGGTGATCTTGAGGCTGTAGATACGGTTCTCGTGTACGGTCTAATGCGCGGACGGGTCAGTATTAAGACGCGTCGCGATACTACCGATCGCAAGCAAACGAGAGACAAAAGAGCACATACGTGTCCTGGGCCAATGATTGTACCATTCCAGTGGCTCATCATGATATCGTCCGAGTCCTCGAGACCGTACGAGCAGGAGCCATCACCGATGCCCTTCTCACCCTTCTCGAGCTCCTCGAGCAGGCGGAAATTGCGTGGTACTTTATCATGTGTCAGTATTCGCCGATGCTATTTAAGGCAGACTTTACTGACTCTTGGCCATGATGGAAGTCGTGAGGAAAGCAAGGGAACTGGAGGAGAGCGGTGTGAAGGCGTGTGGCAGGCTGCAGGCGTAGTGGCGTCAATTCCCAATCGGGCAAAGCCGGCAACTCCCGGACCGTCATGGCCTGGCGTCTAACGACGTGGATGCCGGGACCGCCGCGCTCGCTGCTATCCCGCAGTCGCCTACGCAGCTGCGCCCATCGTCTTCCTTTCGTTCCCTCACGACATCTGCCTTGACGCGCTGACACGATATGTTTCGAGGAGGACAACCCAATGCGTACGACGAGATCGTTGGTAAGTGGAAGCTCCCGCCGACAAAAGAACATTACCTTGACGCATGACGCATCTACACAGCAAAGACTACCGATGAGAATCTCACAGGCGAAAACTGGGAGCTCATCCTGAACCTGTGCGATAAAGTGCAGGAGGAGGGCGAACAGGGGTGAGTCACCAATGTTCCTACCGGTCCAGCGTCTCCAACGACCGACTCGCCTTCATCGCAGTGCCCGGAATGTGATCGCAGCTTCGCTCAAACGATTAGCACATCGCAATCCTAACGTTCAGCTGTATACCCTTACCTTGATCGAAGCTTTGTCCAAGAACTGTGGCATCGAGGTGCATCGGGAGATTGCTTCCCGGGCGTTCACGCAGGCATTGGAGAAGCTCGTCACCGATAGGGTATGCATCGCGTCTTGTAGCACTTTGGACATCGTCAGCTCACCAGGATGTTATTAGACCACCCATGACAAAGTGCGGAAGCGTGCATTGAACTTGGTAGCAATATGGACTGCAGAATTCGAGAAGGATCCCACTCTCGGTCTCATGGAGGAGTGTTATGAGAGTCTCAAGAGCAAGGGTGCGTGTCTCCCTGTGTTCTCGCTTGGCAACTTGCTCACGACAGCGTGATGCGACTAGGGTACAAATTTGAGACGCCGGATGAACCTCCACCGCCCGAGGTCGACGACGAAGTTCGTCGTCGGGAAGAGGAGGAGCTGCAGCGTGCGCTGGAGATATCCATGCAGGATAAGGGTGGCAGATCCCAGTGGGAGGCATATTCACTCGCGTCGTCCAGCGGGGCGAGTGGCTCAGGAGCAGGCGGCTCGAGACAAGGATCGTCCGCGACCCCGGGTCCCTCAGCTTCGTCCTCTCGCCCTCCGCCAAGCTCTTCGCAGACTCCTACATATGGCGGTTATGTCCCTTCATCGGCTACCCCTGCAGTATCCGCCGTCACACAAACATCTCCCTCTCCCTCGCCGGTCACCACTGTCCGTGCCACCACCAGCTCCCCAGTATCCTCAGTGCACTCGACGCAGGATGGTATACCCATCGTAACGCGTGTCCGTGCTCTGCATACCTTCGAGCCCACGGAGCCGGGAGAACTGGGCTTCGAGAAGGGTGATATAATTAAGGTCGTCGATCGTAACTACAAGGACTGGTGGCGAGGCCAGTTGAAGGGCCGGACGGGTATTTTCCCCGTTAACTATGTGGTACGTCGTATTTGACGGTCCTGCAGTGTCGGTGATTTTGACCATGTTGTATGTAGGAACCCCTCCCAGAGCCCACAGCGGCTGAAATTGCCCGGGAGGCCGAGCAAGAAGCTGCTGTGTTCGCACAAGCCGCAAACGTTGACAGACTTCTGACCATGTTGCGGAACATGGATCCCGCAAGGGATAATTTGGCGGACAATGAAGAGATACAGGTCGGTATCCACCGGCTTCGTTTTACTCCCAGAGGCTAACCCTGGTATACAGGAGCTATACCGCTCTTGCATGACCCTCCGGCCCAAGATTGTCAAGTTGATCGACAAGTACAGTCAGAAGAGAGGTATGTTTCGACCTACCTTCGCCATCGTATGCTCAAGCATGCCCGGCAGCCGACCTTGTTTCTATGAATGAGACGTTCGTGAAAGCGAGAACGATCTTTGACAGGATGATGGAAGAGAGCCTCGCGCGGCACACTGGAGGTGCGTCTGACTAATTTAAAGTCGAGCGAGGAAAGGAGGAGAATTGACATCCCTTGACGCCCAGTATACGATGGCCGTCCAAGTTATGTTCCGACCCAGAGCCAATCCTACATCGCTCGTCCGGACTCGAGAGCGCGCCAGGAGTACCTCCCTCCGGGTGGACCTCCCATGGCGCCCGGTGCCCCGCAGGCATACGGGTGGAACCCTACCGTGTACGAGCAGCCCGGATACAACGCCTATCCGGCAGCGCCCGCTGCATACCCTCCCGAGTCGCCTTACCCAGCTCCTGCGCAGCCTCAGCCGCCTGTCCCAGCGCAGCCATACGTGGATTCCCATGCCTACTCTGCAGCGCGTCCTCAGTCGGCGTATGGCCAAGTTCCTCCTCAGGCGTATCCGCGCCCGACGTCGTACGCGCCTCCCCTCAGTCCGGTCATGCAAGCACAGCAGCCAGGTCCTCAACAGGTCCCTCCCGCTGGTCCCCAGTTCGGTCATCCGTACCCTGAGGCCCAGTCCCCGCTTCAGCAACCAGCGCAGCCGCCGATTCAGCATCAACAGCAGCCACCTCAGTCGCAATTCAGCCCGCAGCCACAGCAGCAGCCTCAGCCTCAGGTACAGCAGGCCGAAGTGCAGCCTCAGTCGCAGGTTCAGCCTCAGCCTCAATCGCAGCCGCCGCCGCAAAGCCAACTTCAGGGTGCGCCTCAGCAGCAGTCATCGCCGACACCATCCCAACAGCAACAGAGCGGGCCTCCTTACGTGTACGACCCGAAGGGGACGTATCCGGACCCGAACGCGCAGGCGTGGGCACAGTACTATGCGCACGGCGGAACGGATCCCACTGGCGCAGTCTACTTCATCTCTGTCCCTGGGGTGAAGGAGGGTCCGCCGGCCGTTCAGCCTCAGCCCTCCGTCTCGCGCAACCAGTCCGTTGATTCTGTCAACCAAGATCCTGCTGCGACTGGGCAGACGGGACACGTTGCTCCGCTCAATGTCCACAAGGGCCAGCCGGAAGATGGGTCCCAAGGCGCGCATCAGCCACAGCCTGGCGGGTATGGCGCGTCGCCTTACGCTCCTGTCGGGCCGGCCTCTCCTGTCCTTGGAGGGCAGCCTGCCCCCGGTCAGCAGTTCTACGGGTTGGCCAACCAGTTTGCCGGAATGGATATCAACGGCAGCGGTGAACAGAACGCGCAGGCTGGGCCCCAGGGAGTGGGTGCGCCTGCTTGATCTTGGTACAGGATGGATTGACCGGATGCTATGCGATGTTGGACAAAGATCTGTCGCCTCGGAAGGTCTGTATGTATTTATGCTCTTGGAAAATCGTACGCCTTCAATGACTCAGAGGGCTTAGTCTTTTCTATCCGACCTACGAATGCAGGAACCCTCGCCACTTCGGTGATAGGGCGTACGCTACGGCCGCTAGCACGGAGCGATACATACAGTACAGTAGTGGTGTCTACAGAGTCAATCGCGACCAAGCTCAGGCCGAAGTAGAGTTCTGCAGGATCCCTATGAGGGGTGGGAAAAATGATGCTCGGAGTGAGGATCGAACTCACGACCTCAGGATTACCCACTACTGGAGTGGTCATACTGGACGTATGAGACCTGCGCTCTAACCAACTGAGCCATCCAAGCTTGCGGATATTTTATACGTATGCATATATAATACGTTGCTACTATAACCGACCCGGATTTGGGACGCTCATCAAAAATAAGAGCCGGGTTCTCTTCCAACTCAAGTTATTCCTTCCGCACCCTCATAGATGTGTGTGCCACCTAGATCTGTAACCCCTCCATATATTTTTTTTGGGATCTGTACATCAGAACGCTCTGCGTTGCGTGAGGACCCGGAATTTGGACGACCTGACGGGTGAGCTGGTCACGTATGTCACAATGCCGAGCTGTGCCGAATTAGATCTCCGATTCGATCTATTACCGGAGACTTGCCGGGACCGCCGGCCGCCGACCACCTCCTTTAAGGGACGATGGCTTGCTTAGGCCTGGTCATATTGCGTCTGTATTTTGGAGCGAGAAGCAATTCAGTAGACGTGCACAGCAGAGGTATGAGCACGAGGGGAGGCAATGACTTCGCGTGCACAAATGCACGACGTCGAGTGCACGCCGAGATGCGGTTTAAACTCCGACACATGCCTCAGCCACAGCTACGGCACTGAATGTCACGCTTTCACGTCCTGCGTTCCTACAACACAGCAAACTCGCTGCTCAGACCTTAAGTAAACTCGAAACATCACTTTTGGATGTATTATGAGGTTTCATGAAGGAAGGAAGGAAGAGAACTAAGTAGAGCACTCGTTAGAGGAGGTTCATCCCGCCGCGCGCTCGAGTGGACTGTCTTGGTATTCAAATAACTCTCGTCTCTCTCCTCCTCCTCATTTCGGATTTCCTCTGTACACATTGTGAGACACCTACTCAGAGATCCCGATGCAAATCAGAAAAATCTAGCCAGCGGTTGAGTTGTGATAGCCATTTGTCCAAAATCCGGGTCAGCGCCTAGTCCGTCCCAAATCCGGGTCGGTTATAGTACATCTTTGGTGTTGGATAGCGTCACTGCTTCTCTTCAGACGTCTCGTCTCGTCCAGTAATAGTCCTCTCCCGGTCCCCTGCTACTTCCGCACATTCACCCCAGTTCGCCTTACTTGTTAGCCCTTTGTTTTCTCCGTAGTCTCACCTTCTGACGAAGCGCTTGCTCTCTCGAAAGACTGTTAGACAGCCGCACTCCACTCGACTGCAATCGGACTGTGGCCTCGTGTAGTCGGCCGTACCTGTGAAGTCATACCCCAGCTACCCAGGCATTGTAGGCAACAGGCAGCACCCGCAGCATCTACCACTCTCCTATCTCTCCTTTGACCTGTTACCTCGACAGGATGGCACCGCAAGTTGACCTCGTCTTCATATTTCGCTCGTCTCCGGGGAAGGTACTCTCAAAGCCACAAGCGCGCGAGAACGCTCGGCAGGCTGCCCAACAGTACACGCGACTCCTAGAGGTTCTCAAGAATGGACGGCTGCACGCTGTAGGGAAGCGTGGCGAGAAAGAGGGGCAGCTGCTCGTGCTCGTCCATTGCCCCGAGAGCACTCTAACCCGCCTTGTGCAGCGAGAACGGTGCGTCACCTGGCCTGTTCGGTCATGATTTCAAGCTTACCCTGCACGCGCAGCTACTCGGACTTCCTGTGTGGCCTGCCCACTGCAAATCCGACTGGCACAAGGGACTTGACCGCGGAGCCACTCAGTCCGGCGGATAGGTTACGCCTGGTGCACACCTATGTAACCTCGACGCCGGCTGATGGTGGTCTCGGCGTGGCGCCTGGCTCCTCAAACTGGGATCGTGTCGAGTCTGTGATGGTGCTCCATGACCATTCGTTCAACGAAGCTTGGATCCGTGCGTGGACAACTCGCCAGCTCGGGTTCGTCAAGTTCGATAAGATACGCGAACAGGTGCGTATAACGGCCCCTGCAGCTCTGGCTGGTACTCACTCATCCGACTTCGAGCAGTTCGGTGAAGCCGTTGCGCTGTACTTCCATTTCCTCTCGTTTTACACGAAACACCTGCTCTTCATCGCCGTGGTCGGCGTACTATTCTACTTCTTCTCGATGCCCTACTCGACCCTGTACTCCTCAATCCTCCTCCTCTGGTCAATCACCTTCGTCGAGTGGTGGAGGATTAAACAAAGGATATTGTCTGTGCGCTGGGGCACCAAGGGATCCTTCCGGGTTGAGAAACGTCGAGCGCAATATGCCCCTTTGCCGTGGTGGAGGAAAGACCTGAGAATGCTGGCCAGCTTACCAGTCATCCTGCTCTTCGCGTCTGTGCTCGCGGTCACCCTCACTGCCATATTCATCTTCGAGGCCTTTGTCACGCAACTGTACACCGGACCTGGCCATAGGTTCATCGTATGTGCATACAACGACTGACCGCGTCCTCATCTGACACACACGATCGCAGGGCTTCAGTCCGACCGTCCTCTTTGTTGCGCTCGTACCTAGGCTTCTCGCCATCTACCACTCCTATGCGGTGCGCCTGACCAACTGGGAGAACCATGGGCACCAGTCGACCCACGACGCGTCGCTGACAGTAAAGACATTCAGCCTCTCCGCGATCGTCGCCTACCTTGGTATAGCGCTTTCTGCTTTCGTCTATGTGCCATTCGGCGAGGAGGTCATGGCGGCTGTGCAGCACTACCTCTTCTACCGCGACACCCCCTTCCACGCGACCGCCAGGACAATGCTGTCGTCCGTCTACTCCGCTCTACCGTCGAACGTCACTGCAACATTCAATGCCACTGCGGATGCCAAGGGCGCCAGCGATGGCTCCAATCGGACGTTCTGGGAGAGGGATTCCGGTAGCGCACGGGGCAAGCTGAGCTCGACCCGTCTCCAGGATCAAATGTTCGCTTTTACCGTCACGAACCAGGTCATCAACACGTTCCTCGAGATAGGACTTCCCTTCATCATGCGTGCGGTCACGTCGGTACGGAGCGGGAAAGGCCTATCTCTTGCGGCACCCGCAGCAGGCGCAGGCGGCAACGGCAACGGCAAGAAGAAGCGGGTTATGTTCGAGGACCAGACGGCGGAGTCGGAGGCAGAGCGGCTGGCCAATGAAGAGGAGGAGCGAGAGTTCCTGGACAGGGTGAAGAGGGAGGTCGCGCTTCCTGACTACGACCTCTTTGCCGACTACAGCGAGATGGTCACCCAATTCGGCTACGTCACGCTGTGGTCCACCATTTGGCCTCTTGCCCCAGGTAAGCACGTCATCACCGGCCTGCGGACGCATCTCACCCCCAATTATAGTGATGTCCCTCGTGAACAACTGGCTCGAGCTGCGGTCGGACGCGTTCAAGATAACCGTACATGTCCGCCGCCCGATTCCTACGCGCACGGATACCATTGGGCCATGGCTGGACACGCTCACGTTCTTGACGTGGCTGGGGGCGCTGACGAACTCTGCGCTCGTCTACCTCTTCCGGCCGCGCGACCACTGCAAGCCGCTGGGCACGTCGCTCTCGCACAACCACAACCACCTCAGCCGCCCGTATGCGCCGCCCCAGGAGTACCTCATGTCGGCGCTGCTCATCGCGCTCGGGGCGTCGCACGGCTATATCCTCCTGCGGATGCTCGTCCGACACACGCTGGAGCGCCTGTTCTGGCGGGGCAGCAAGGAGGAGCGGGAAGCCGAGCGCATCGAGACGGTCGTGAAGGAACAGTATCTTCGGAGCCTTGGCGTGGCGGACGTCGTTAATGCGGAAGAGCCCGCTGCGGAGGCTAGTGAGGGTGGTGCGGAGGGCAGATTGTCGGCGTTTTGGAGCCAGGACGAAGGGCTGGACGAGCTGACTCGGGGCGCGAAGGAAGCATAGTATCTCTGATACGCTGATGCAGTGTGTTGAGGTCGAGGACGGTCGGGATGTACTGAAGAGACCATGAGGACATATGGCCTTTACGTTAGAGCGTGATGATATGTGGCCGATGTCGTGATACGCTGCAAGATTAGTACCCACGCTATGTACTACTGTACGGACGATGTCTGTGAATATATTGTGCTGGGCCGAGTTGTGCAGAGGAAAGTGGGTGTATTTTGGCTGAGCGAAGGGTACAAGGCCGAGCGGGGCCGGGTGCGAGCGTCGGGGCTAAGGCGGATCAGCGGGCGTCGGGAATTGCCAAAAGCGCGCGTGGGCGCATTTTGGCCAGGCACGCGGACCGGGGAAACCAGTTTTGCCCATCGACGACGACGACGCCAGCGCGCGCGCTGTTGCCCACATTCCTTTGCACATTCGTTCTCTGCCTGACAACGCTCCTTTTCCCGGCATACGCTGTCCCTTCTCCGTCGCTGCTCGTGCTTGTGCTCACCTGCGTCGCTGTCTGTTCCGTCCGCCCACCCCCCGCCGCCGAGACAAAAAACGCGTCACCTCACGCGCGCGCCCTTCGGATTGCCATACCTACCTACACGTGCTGATTTTTTCACGACACCGTACACGCCTTGCTGCATTCCGCTCCGCGTTCTCGGCCTCGGTGAGACGTCCTTCATTTTGCTGTAATTATGTGGGTGACTCTCCTCTCCGTCGGCCACGTCCGCCTGTCTCACGCGCATTCCAGGCTTTATTAGCCGTGCTTGCACTGTCTCGACGACCCCTTTGCTTGTGACGTTTTGCTCTATATCTGAACGTGAGCCTTTTCCGACGGTCGTCCTTGGCGCGGACGTCTGAGACCATCCACCACCAGCTTTTGTCCCCGCAGCATGTCGACGCAGTACGACCTCCCACGACCTGCTCATCTCTCCCGCACGATGGACAACACTCATCTGCGCATAGCCACGAAGCCTGCATCAAGTCATTCTTTACGTTCGACCCAACGCAGCTCCCGTCGCGTGCCAGTCGAGTCCACCTCGCTGCCCCAGACGTCGTGGCTGTCGGACGTGGCAGAGTTCACCACATCCCCTCTCTCGCACAACCACCTTGGCGTCTCTCTACCTGGGAACGAGTCCCTGCTCAGCTCCGGCTCCATATCTGACACCGGGTCGCCGTTAGGTCTGTCTCCGCGCTCTCGGTCGCGAGACATCTTCCCTCCTTCCCCCATAATCTCTCCACAGGCCTCAGGATCAGGCTCTTTCTCGCGTCATAGCCCC